GCGCATCTCATCCCTCCTTTTCCCCATCTCCTACTGCTCAATAAAGGCCCCATACAGATGAGCAATTACAGAGAGATAGTCTGAAAGGAAACATCTTCTGAAATGCTCACACTCTGGAAATCCCATGTGACACCAATGGCAAGGCCACACCCTGTACTTAATTGTAAATTGTACCCTGGCTTAATTGTAAAGTGTCATATAGATTGTAAAGAAATAGATTTTAAATCCACAATATTTTATAATCTTTTCTTAGATTAACAAAGATTAATAAAGTTAAAAAAATAAATTGACCCAAAAGTCACCCTTTAAGACTGCCACTTTGCCAAATACCAGTTCTTCTGAGCAGAAACACAGCTTCTTGTCTTATGACTTATGCTGTGGAACCTCCCTCCCTGAGAACTACAAAAGATGAGGATTTTAACCAGCAAAGCCCCTGGCTCTGTATATTATGATGAGGATACCAGCAATGATTTCCCGTCATTTTAACTCCCAACCTATCTTTCCTTATCAACCCAATCACTGACCCTCATTCTAACACCTAATGCTAAATATCAACTTTCAGTCTGTCCCCTGCCCCTCTGTCCACCCCCTAAACCTCAAACAACCTCCTAACAATTAACCTAATCCTAATTTATACTCCTTTTCCCAAACCACTCAACAGTCAATCCAAATCCTTCCCGTAACCTTATTCCTGAAAGTGGAACATTAAACAACCATAATACACATTTATCTTGATAAATACACAGCGCCATTTTTTACTTCTGTTCACTCCCAAGTTGTCCATCAATCAGCATTGGAAACTGCCAACTATTACCAGCATGCTACCCAAGGTGTCGCTCAGCCCCCTTCATTCCACCTATGTCTTTGACATCACTGGTAGTTGTAGAAATGTCACCAGCACACCAATCCTTTTAAGATAGCAAAAGCTTAATTTATTGAAGTTTTTTGTCATATGACCAAACAAGCGCGCACAGGGTCCCTTCATCAGACTTTAGCATTGACGATGAAGGGACCCTGTGCGGTCCCGAAATTGCTTGTTTTGTCATATGACAAAAAACTTCAATAAATGAAGCTTTTGCTATCTTAAAAGGACTGGTGTGCTGGTGACATTTCTACAATTGCTGACATTTGCGGCGCCATCCGTGGTCACTGTGAGCACCCCCCACTACAAGGGACATATCGGTAAGGAGTGCGACAAGGACAGTACTTTTTGACAGCACTGGGGCACAGGTGGTAGATAGCATGAGGGGGGCTGACCAAAACCATGAGTTGAGTGGTGGTGAAGGTGGCAGATCCCAATGTCCATTTGTACAGAACCAGAGTATGGACAGAAGTCACACATGGTGCTACACATTTATCAAGGTACATGTGTTATATGGCTGTTTATAGAGTAGTTGTAGGCTGAATTTGTTGTACAGGAAATTGATGGTCAGATTTACTATTACAGCAGCATCCTTGCCATCTTATCAGGTTCATATAGCAAAACAGCCTTAGAAAATTGAATCATGTCGTCACCATGCTAGGAAGCAAAGCCGTTCCTCTGAGAAAATGTCACCTAAGCATTCCAAAGGGCAAAATCTGGAGGCAATTTTCTCACTTCCTGTCCTTGTGACAGCTGTCAAGTTTTGCATTCGTCCCTCATCATCAATGAGGTTACAGACTGTGACAAAAAAAGCTGACAGAGCTTCCATCATTATCCAAATTGCTTGAACTGAGGTTCTACCAAAGGCCCAAATAAAGAAGTGCTAGGGGCATTGTTTCCAGTGGTCATGGCCTGAACCAGAAAGGGACCCGCACTGCATCAGGGACCAGTTATAGTCATAATGTGATGGTACTGACTCATTATTAACACAGCATCCCCCTCATTTGAGGGAAGGAGTCCAGGTGTGTGCGGTGAAGTGTGTACAGCTTTCTCACAATCGCAGGTAAAACACATCTGATGGAGCCTGAAAACACCGTAATGAAATGACAAGCTGTTAATTAGCGACAAATGAAAATGTCACTTTCTCTGTAATCTGCGGTGACCATGATGTCACTTATGTTCCTTGCTACAACAGTGACATCATTTATGTTTTTAGTGTGAAACGATGTGTATTTCAGGATATTATAAGCACATTTCCATCTGTAACCCCCGAGCATAATCAAATTAGTATTTTTATCCAGAGTACGAGAAAACTATTTATTGCCAATCGGTGATAGCGAGCCGACAATAAAATCTCTATAACATTTCCATCGTGAAAGAGGGCAACAATCCCATCTCCAAAACGAATACAACCTTCATCCCAATAATAATACATGAATATTGCATGAGGGCAATAATGCCACCTCCGTGTTGTGTGGAGGCAAAATAATACCATCCTCATCTTGTATGAGAGCAAAAATAATATCACCTCTATATTGTGTGAGGGCAACAATAGCATCTCCAACTTGTCTGAGATTAAGCACTAAAACCCTCTGAAAAAAATGTGAGGGCACCAATATTGTGTGTATATATAGTGTGAAAGCACCAATACCATTTCCATCTTTTGTGAAAGCACCAGTAACATTTCCAAACACCATGCACCAATAACATTTCTGTATAGTATGAGGGCACCAGTGCCATCTTCATACAGTAAGGAAACAGCAATACCATCTCCATATAGGGTGAGGTGAATAAAACAGTTTCCATTTTTCCACTCCCCATCTCCATTTTTTGTGAGGGCACCAGTACCATCTCCACAGAGGATGAGGACATCAACCCCATTTCTATAATTTGTGGGGACAATGGTAACATCTTCATATAGGATGAGGACACCACTACCATCTCCATAAAGTGGGAGGGCACCAACCCTATGTCCATATAATGTGAGGGCACTAATACCATTTTCATATAGTGTAAGGGCACCAACATGACCCCCATTATGTGTAAAGGCACTAACACCATCTCCATATAGATAGAGTAAGGCACCAACACCATGTCCATATAACAAGGCACTAACACCATCTCCATATAGATAGAGTAAGGCACCAACACCATGTCCATATAACATATGGGCAATTATACCATTTCCATATACTTTAAGGGCACTGACACAACTTCCATTAAGTGTGAAGACACAACACTATCCTATTGTTAGACCTGTAGTAAAGCATTCCTTATCAGGGGCAATACAGTGTTCACGGCTTCAAGTCCCACTACATTTCCTGCATGGAGTCTGAATAGAGCTTGTGAGTGAGTTTGCTTGTTCTCAGTATTCAGTGTGTGTTTGTGTTTTTATTTCATGGTAGGAATAGCAGGCTGTGCGCTCCTGCTCAGTTCCATGATACAGCTGCTATGCTTGTTGTGTTTGGATTGAAGGATATCTTACACAGTCAGTACTGAATCCATATCCTAGCAAAGCTATGTTTTTTGACTTGGGTTTGTAGTGTGATATTCATTTCCTGATGTTGTGTTAGGCCAGTGACATCATCTCAATTTTTTTGTGGTAAATTATGTCACCATCATCATTCAATATAAGGAAAATTATATAATCTCCCTAGTGTGTAAGGGCCATACGTGGGCAGGTATATCTCCCTAATGTATGAAGGCAGTATTATTATCTCCATATTGTGTGAGGGAATCTATCCCTTTACAAGAGCAGTGACCTCAGCTCCATAGTATGTGTGAGCATTGACAATAAACAAGTGACCTAATCTCTATATTCTAGGGGAGAATGGTAGTACCTTTCTAATTGTGAGGGTAGTGATGTTATCTACATGTTGTGTGAGAACAGTGATATTAGGTCTCTTTTGGACATGATGGCAAACATATCCATATTATGTAGGGGCAGAGGCATGATGTCCATGTTGTGTGAGAGCAGAGGCATTATATCCATGTTGTGTGAGAGCAGAGGCATGATGTCCATGTTGTGTGAGAGCAGAGGCATTATATCCATGTTGTGTGAGAGCAGATGCATTAGGTCCATGTTGGGTGAGAGCAGATGCATGGTTTCCATGTTGTGTGAGAGCAGAGGCATGATGTCCATGTTGTGTGAGAGCAGATGCATTAGGTCCATGTTGGGTGAGAGCAGATGCATGGTGTCCATGTTGTGTGAGAGCAGGGGCATGATGTCCATGTTGTGTAAGGGCAGATGCATGATGTCCATGTTGTGCAGGGGCAGAGGCATTATATCCATGTTGTGTGAGAGTGTTGACATTGTGTCAATTTTGATTGAGTGCAGTGCCGTGATTTCATGGTAGGACACAATCATGAAGTCTGTGTTATGTGAGGGCAGTGACATGCTGTCCATGTCATGGGGGGGGGGGGGCACTGTCATGACATCGATGTTATGTGATAGCAGTGACTTCACATCCATGTCAAAAGAAGGTAGTGACATAGGGCCCCAAATACACTGCAGGGCCAAGAGTTTGTGGATATGAGCTTGTTGGACCTCCAATTCCAAAATCAAAGACATTAATATGGAGTGCACCGCCGTCTTTGTGGCTTAAACAGCTCCTGCCCCTTTGGGAAGATTTTCCATAAAATGTTGAAGTGTGTCTTGTGTCCATATAACCAAAAGAGCATTTTGTGAGGTCAGGTACTTACTGTATGCTGGATGATAAGACCTGGCTTGAAATCAGCATTCCAAATGATGCCAAAGGTTTTCAGTAGGATTGAGTCTGTACACATCATGTGAGTTTCTGAACATCAAACTCATCAAACCATGCTGGTGCAGGAAAGGGCATTCCCCATACTGTTGTAACAAAGTTAGAAGTGCACAACTGTTTAAACATTGTATGTAGGCTGTAGCATTAACAGGACCCTTCGCTGGAAACACCTGAACCCATTTATTTGGAGGGGTGTCTACACAAAAACATTGAGTCATGCAATGTGTTCCTGTTAAGAACTGAATACAAGCCTACTGCTTGGTTATTGTGGGGTAATCTCTCTAGATCTTAGTAAGAACACCTTCATAGATAAGGTCAGTCTTGTACATGTTGTGTGCACACATGAGGTTGACTCCTGCATTCCTCTGTTCCAGGCAGTGATGTGTCTCAGGAGAGCCTTCTTCTACATGGACCCTTCGCCAGGAAGCCTAAGAGAATCAGAACAGCCTTTTCTCCCTCACAGTTGCTGCGGCTAGAGAGGGCTTTTGAGAAGAACCATTATGTGGTGGGGGCAGAGCGCAAACAGCTGGCCAGTAGCCTCAGCTTGTCGGAAACACAGGTAATTACAGTCATAACTGTGAACTCCACAGTACAGCATTATTCTTATCCCTATACCACAATATCATAATGTCAGTGCATCCAGCAGTATCAGTGTTACCAGTAAAGCCTATAGAATAAGATCAGTGTATAAGGTTGAGGGGATAAAGCACCTGTAACATGGCACATTGCATTCAACCAACAATATATACAGCTATAGTACCAGTCCATATCTTAGTTACATAAATGCATAGAGACATTGTTTAATTATTTAATAGGTGGTTGGGGCTATGTGTAAGAACTCTTAAATGCTTCTACCCTGAAGCTGCTGTGACCTGCAATCTGCAGGGCTGACAGATGCAATCAGGTCAGATTGGATGCAGCCACCGTTTTACCCTGTACCTATAGCGACTCTATGCATGTATAGGTCACTCATGCCCACCAGCAGAGCCCTTTGTTCTCCAAAAAGCAAACAGTCTATTTAACAGCTAGCTCAGGTCCTCACATAGCTCTCATTTTTTGTATACCAACCAATCTCTTCTCACACAGCCTTATGTTCTTGATATATCAACCAATCCATCTCAGAGCAGGCTCAGATCCTTACACAGCTTTCTGTATACCAACCAGGCAATCTCAAAGCTCAGTCGGATTTTAACACAGCTCTCATTTTTTGGTATATTAACCAATGGATTTTAGAACTAGCTCAGGTTTCCACAAAGCTCTCTGTATACCAGCAAATACATCTCAGAACTTGGAAAGGTCCTCACACAGCTCGTAGTTTTCTGTATATCTGCCAATCCATTTTAGTGGCTCAGTTCCTCACATAGCTCTCCATATACTAAACAATCAATCTCAGAGCTGGGTAAGGTTCCCACACTTCTCTCAATTCTCTATATACCAACCAATCTATCTCAGAACTTGAGAAGGTCCTCACGCGGTTCTCAGTTATCTGTATAACAGCCAGCCCATCTTCGAGGTGGCTCAGTTCCTCGCGGAGCTCTCCATATTACATCATTGTTAAGGTTGAATAAAGACACAAGTCCATCGAGTTCAACCTTTGATACCTTTATACTAAGCAATCCATCTCAGAGCTGTGTAAGGTTCTCACACTGCTCTCAATTCTCTATATACCAACCAATCTATCTCAGAGCTGGGTAAGGTTCTCACATTGCTCTCAATTCTCTATATACCAACCAATCTATCTCAGAGCTGGGTAAGGTCCTCAAACAGCTTTTCATTCTCTGTATACCAATCAGTGTATCTCAGAGCTGGGTCAGGGCCTCACACAGCTTTATGTTTTCTCTTTATCAACCAATACATCTCAGAGCTGGCTCAGGACCTTGCAATGTACCCAGTCCCTCATGTGGTAAACTATGTAACAAGTTTGTCAGGTCCTCCTAAAGCCTGTAGTTCTCTGTAGATTAGCCAACCCTCCCTGGGGCTAGGTCAAGACTTTGTGCTCCTTTGAAGGAAACTTTTTAAGGCTCCAAGTTGCGCTACTTTAGATGCCCAGTCAAACACTATCATACCCAACTGGCACAGCGTATACTCAGTGGACGAGACACATAGGGGGTTATTCACAAAGCTGCCAAAGGCAGCCGAGTGAATAACCCAGCCGAAGTGAAGTGAGGCGAACTACGTTCGGCTATTCACTTCGGCTCAGTATGGCTGATTTCATCCATACATCGGCTGAAATCAGCCGTACATTGGCTGCCTTTGGCAGCACTTTGGTTCTCTGTATTCGGCAGTGAGTAAGCAGCCGAATGCCGCTCGGCGGTATTCCGCTCGGCTATTCTGCTTGGTACCTCTGTTGTACCGAGCAGAATAGAAAATCATTGAAAATAGTTTAAAAAAAAAAAAATTATAGCTCCATGACTCTAAAACTTTAATACATTTAAATCCCTTTAAAAAGATCAAATTGCAGAATTGTGAAGGTGCAACCTTCTGTTTAATAGTCCAGATACATCTTTATTCAATGTAGGGTTGAGGGGACAGTAGGGAAATAGCCAGTGCTTATCACGGGATCATGCAAATACCTTCTTCATCAGGGCTTACTAAGGGAGAACATGGATGAGGCTGCCACTCATCTGCTGAACAATTCTATGCATTCATACACAGTGGACAAAACCGCATCCAATGTCAAGCCATCACAGTCCTGATGCAAGTTCTCCCTTAGTAAGTCCTGAGGAAGGAAGTATTTGCATGAATCCCCAAAACATGTTAGCTATTTCTATACTGTCCCCTCAACACTACATTGAATAAAGATGTATGTGGACTATAAAATCGAGTGTGACGCTTTGCAAGTGGAGATCCTCTGGAATGTCGAAGTTGCCTGTCCGGTAGTCAGATCAACTATACCGACTCTTTCACATCCTAAATGGCTAGCCGCACCAATAGGATAAAGCTTGCAGGTCCAGCACATTTTTCCACTTTTTTTTTTAAATATCAGGCATCTCTTCTTCAAGAATACATTGGCCCAAAAACACAAACAACAATAGTGATTGTATTGTATAATAATACCCACAAGAGGAACAAAATAATCAGCCCTTGTCCCCTGTACTCAGGTTGCGGCTGGCTCGCCACCACTGTGCACAATCTACTATTAACCATCTTCACTCGCTTTTTACTCCAAGTCCGGTGAGTGAATGGAGTCACAAAATCTGGCAAATTTGGAGATCCTCTTGTTTTATTTTTTCCAATTTGGAGTCCATTGCTGATTTCCATTTCAACTAAAGTTGGCCCTGGAAATCATTGCTCTGACCCGGGCTCAGGGTCAGCTCCATTTTCATTGGCTTGGCCATTTTCTTTCCACCTGGTGAATGTACTGTAGTAAATATGACCCCTCCACATCTACAACAAGCTTACCGCATCCACACATGAGCAGCGATGAAAATCGGATATGCTGGGGTATTTGTGTACAGACTGAGACACATTTTCTAGAAACCATCTGTGAGATTCCTCAGCTTTGTATGCTAATATTTCCATTTATAACCGCATATTCCGACACCCGCACATGTTCCCGTCGCACACACGGCTCTTCTCTCGGCTGCTTGCGGAACGTCACACACATCCATTAGAATCCTACAGAGTTCTGGCTTCTAAATATTTAACACAGTGACCTTTCTTCTCTGTGAAAAATAAAGAAGACGCATTAGGCGGAATCATAGTACAGAGGGGAGAAAAGCATGCAGTAGACTCAAAACCTGCATGATAGAATGCGACTGAGCGTTCCTGCGCTGAGCGGCTTTTGTTCACTTCTCTCCCCATTCAAGTCATTGAGAGCGTAAAGGTTGATGCAGCTTACAAGGAGGTCAAATACACTCTGTAAACTGAATGATCTCAGAAGCGTCTCAAAATAATCTCAAATGGAAGTCAACATTGTAGCTTGGCTTTAGCTTACCAAGCTGTACTTGGTTTGGATATCGGCAAGAACACTACCTGCATGGAGTGTGTGCATTCTACCTATGTGTGTGTGTGTTGGTTTCCTCCCACACTCAATAGGCATGCTGCTAGGTTATTTGGCCCTAGTATGTGAGATGAGGACCTTAGATATGCACGAATAGTATGTCAAATTGTAGGTGCTATATGAACACCTGTGATAAATACTGAAGAAGAAGGCAAGCCATTGACACAAGTCCCTACAGAGCAAGTCTGAGGGCATTATGTCCCAATGTGGTCCATCACTTCCCTAGCTCTAGCAAGTCCAAAGAACTGATGGGCCATCATTCACCAACTCTAGAATGTCCATAGAACTGATGGGCCATCATTCACCAACTCTAGAATGTCCAAAGAACTGATGGGTCATCATTCACTAACTCTAGAATGTCCAAAGAACTGATGGGCCATCATTCACCAACTCTAGAATGTCCATAGAACTGATGGGCCATCATTCACCAACTCTAGAATGTCCAAAGAACTGATGGAATCATTCCCCACCATTTTGCAGAACCATCCTCCACCTTTGTGTTCATCCTTCCTCCACTCCAGGCTTGTGCCTCTGAATTTTACAGCAGTCCAACAGAAGGGGCATTGCATAACCACAAAATGAGGCAGTCATTATAGAGTTGCAGTAACAAAGTTTAGGTTTACTATGAAGGGATGATAATCTACCCGTGACAATGGTGCACTGGTGATATGTAGCTGCACATGGGCACATTGTAGAGAGAATGATCACAGAGATTTGTAGTCGCTGTAAATCTATGCCGGTGTGACACGGCCATGAGATCTTGCTCTATTAAACATACTATTGAAAGTGTTCTGTTATATTACTTGGTTAAGTACAAAAAAAAACACCCGCTAATCTTCCAGAGATCCAGTGATGTCCTGTGCTTTGTGCATTCTTATTTCAAACAATGTTCTCAAGAAGTATGTTAGGGGTACAGGGGGACACCTCCCCCTATGTTATAGAGATAAGGAGAGTGAGAGGCATTTTGTACCTATAACACACTTCCTGTCCTGGAGTGACAATGCTGCTTTTACATAGATATAGTACAGTTAGAGTTGTCACCTTAGAACAGGAAATGTGTTACTGGCAGGATGACCAGATGAAAATAAAGGCATTAAAAGGACGTATAAGCTGCAATATGTTGGGTTCAGATACACTGTACACTGATCTTTAAGCCCGTGACACACTGCACGCAAAGCCGTTCAGAGCGAAGCAAAGCTGTCCGGCACGGAGCTTTGCGTGCAGTGTGTGAGCTGGGTGCAGTCAGATGATTGACTGCACCTTCAGCCAATCGGATCATGCGTAACAACCAGCCAGACGTCGCATGCTGACGCGCGGGTTTATACGCGCGAGTCGATTGGCTGAAGATTACTTTTTTCATCTCGGCACGCTCGGCTACGCGAGCCCCCGCAAGCTGACGTGCCGAGGAGAAAATTACATGACACACTGCTCGCGAAGGCAGCGCGCAACCACTCCACACTGCTTCGCGTGCAGTGTGTCACAGCCTTTAGAATGTTAGGTGTTAGGCGACACTGGAGTATTAGGACGATTCATTAAAACTGAAGAAAATGTACAGC